TGGGACTTAGACCTAAGTGCAAAAATGGAGGCTCTAGACCCTTCCAGAGCTGAGATATTGAGATCCCCCATAGCATTTATACCATTATAAAAATAGTGGGTTCGTGGACGGTGGACGGAATGGACCTTTTTCATGGCCTTGGACTAGCTAGATTTAGAAAAGTGAAATCATAATCAACCACCCCTTTAAAATAACTGCATGACGTTTAGCAACACAAGTCATCCAGCTTTTATTAATATGATACTCTAATATCCATCTAGCTAATAGCATTTTGCATCAAGTGTCTCACTGCAAGCATAATAAATCCTCCGCTGCTCTCAAAGGAACGTGAGGCCCAGTGTGTCGCGCAGGTGTCTCTGATTAGCAATTGCTTCAGCGGCCTCGGCTCTCGGTCCGTAATGTTAATAAAACTTCAATACACTAGCTCATTAACATGATTTCTGCCTAAGTCCCATCGGATTGTATTTCATCGGTTCTGTAGGTAAAGACAAGACCTCCAATGATTCCACGGTCATTCATGACATCATCAAGCTATGCCTTTGTGTAGAATAAGCGACTTCCAGTGGCAAAACTTACATACTGTGCCTTTAATAAAGAATCAAGAATTAACACCAACCTCTCTTTGTTCTTCAATGTGTTTCATTCTGCAGTGTTCTGGATCTCATGTTCTCAATGTCCTTCAATAAACTCTGTGTTAGCAGATTTCAGCTCTTCCTGATGGTTTAATGCTCGTCTTCACTTGTAGCTGAGGGGAATATTCCAGCGTTTATTGGTAAACTGCAGTAGGAGGAGCTTCACTGGAGGAGGAGGAAGAGGAGGAGATCTGACAAAATCAATAAGAAAACACTTACTGAGTTTGTTTTTATACTAAAATGTTTATGCCCACCTTTTCTATCTAGTAAAGTAACTTTTAAGTAAATTAATCTCAAAGGTCTGATTTCACAGACAGGGCTTGGATTAAGCCAGGAATAGGCCTATGTTCAATTAGGGCATTTAAGTAGCTTTTAAACACGCGAAATATCTGACCTGCAGAACTCACCTCAGAAGACACAACAAACGTGCTGAACGAGGAAGGAAACTACTGATGGCTACAGTTTGATGTAAAACCGCTGAGGTATAAGACTGTGAAAATACGCAATTACAAAGACTACAAACCCCAAAGGCACACATTTTCTCTCAATGAATGAAGCTAACTTTACTGAAGCTAACGTCTGTCATTGTTTCTATAGTCTTACGGTATAATCGTAACGCTACACCGTCATACCTGAGTGTTTTGTACCAGACTGCACACATACACAAGCAGCGGATCTCGCGCAATGTTTTGCTTCCCGGGAGATGTAGTTCATTGAGCGATTTTCACATAAAACTAAATGTTACTCCTCTGTTTTATGACAAACTGTGACTTTCTAGACTTTCACAATTATCTTTTGAATTGACAAACATTATATGTGTAATTCAGGGCACAGTTCAGACGGATTAAAAAGATAAGTTGTCTCTCACCATTGACTACCATTTATTTATTCCGAAATAAGCTCCCATGAGCCGGTGTTCTGTCGATTTTTGCTGCCTTGTCGAAAAATGCTACCATAGCGCGAATTGATCACAGAATGCCGATTAAAGTCGTATGAAATACAATTCTAATACAATTCTAAGTTATGAGTAGCTACTGTATACTGTAGACTACTGTTTTTATTTTTAAAACGGTGTGAAAAGTAAAAAATTATCATAAAATATTCATCTTTGACTTGTCAAAGTACACCTTTTCTTTTAGTAACTGAAACTTTCAGTTATTCCTTTTCAGCTGGCTGACCGTACAAATATTCATATGGTAGTAAGCATTTTTTAAAGGGAAATTATACATTATAACAGGAAAATGTACCTTTTGTAAAAAAAAAAAAAAAACTGAGTCTGCACATGCGCATAACCGGTAAGTAGGAAATCTCGATGGGTAGCATGAATTGTCAGAACACCCGGAAGCGGAGGGAAGGGGCTTAGGCTCTCTATATACAGTCAATGTGACGGCACTGTCTGCAGCTAACGACATGAGTCTGATAACACAAAAATACGCCCTGCCTCCAGGACAACACAGACTCCAACACAAACTCCACATAAAAATAAAACGTTTTATCAGCTCGTCAGACCAAACGTGAATTGGATCAACTTCGGACGAAAACATGGATCAACATCGGCAGAGCGTTTAAATTATGGAGAGACCTCCGCTTTGTTTTAGGTATAATTGTGGGTTTTTGAAAAGGCCTTTTAAAAAAACATTACTGATCTGGGGCTAGGCTTATGCTCTTTCTGTGAAACCAGGGGAAAGTGTTATTATGAATTCACAAAAAGTACAACAATGCACATAATATAGATAAGAAAAAAGAGAAAATAAACTTAAAACAAATGACCAACTGAGTCTGACAAAACTATTTGTTTTTATATGGAACATGGTTCATCAAAGATTGAATAAATGCTGTTATGATACTTACCCAGGCTATTTGTAGAAGATGTCACAATAGTAATCCATTTTTGCACTCAGGTCTAAGTCTCATGGCCCTCTATCAGAATCCAGAGTTTCAAGAAGATCAGAGAAACTCAAAATTTCGACACGAAAAAAAACAAAACAAAAAAAACGTCAGGGGTACCCCTGTCGACTTTTTTGGTGCAAAATTTTTTTCTCTGATCTTCTTGAAACTCTGGATTCTGATAGAGGGCCATGAGACTTAGACCTGAGTGCAAAAATGGAGGCTCTAGACCCTTCCAGAGCTGAGATATTGAGATCCCACATAGCATTTATGCCATTATAAAAACAGTGGGTTCGCGGACGGTGGAATTTTGGGATGGCACTTGGTGCTACGGACCCTGGGGGAGCCTTCTGAGTGCAGTAAAATAGTTTTTATCACGACAGGAACTTTAGTTAAAATGTCTATCAAATATACTACCCGAAACCCCATTCAATAGATTTCAGGCGGGATGGTGTCCAACATAAAAATGGTATGAAACTCATACAGGTTTGGAACAACATGAGGGTGAGTAAGTGATGAGATGACAAATATAATTTGTGGTTGAACTATACCTTTAAAGGCATTGTTCACCCAAAAATGATAATTAACCCATGATTTAATCACCCTCTAGCCATCCTACTGTAGGTGTATATGACATTCTTCTCTCAGACGAAAACAATCAGAGTTATATTAAACAATGTCCTGGCCCTTCCAAGCTTTATATGGCTGTAAATGGTTGTTTTTGTTTTGAAAGTCCATACAAGTGCATCTATCCATCTTAAAAGTGCATCTATCCATGATAAAAGTGCATATATCCATAAAAAATATATATTAATATAAAATATTTAAAATATTCATATTTAAGTTGCGCTTTAGATTTAAGTCAAATCCATATGTTCTTTTGCCAGGAAGTTATAAAGTTTTAAATATGGATATTTTTTTACACCTCCATCTACCTCATTACTCCACATAAAGTCAACATCTGAGATATTTTCATCAGCTATATGTTCAAGCACTTCAGAACTGTATATTCTGCACATGAAAAAGTTTCAAAAATGTATCGGTACTGTGATGTATATATATATATTTTTAGAAAAGAAATTTCAATCAGCATCACTGAAAATGTGACTTCAGTAACAGGCTTTCAAACCTACTGTCCATTCTAATGGACAGACACATTTAAAAAAAATCCTGATTTAAAACGTGCAATTCTACAGTCGATTTTTAACTTGAATTAATGAGTTCAATCTTTCTATTTTACATACAAACTATGAAATACTGGCAAAAATATATACAAAATGTAAATACACCTACTTAGAAAATGTTGTTCTGCCATGCTTCTCTTCAATGTAGACTTTTTTATATATATAATTACTACATGCAGAGCTTTACTGGCATTTGATTGGATGACAAACGTCCAATCTCATGGACTGCAGGCTTTAAACTAGGTGAAATGCTCCAGAAGTTAAAAAAGGGGGCTGACATGTGATGTCCATTGTAATGGACACAGGGTCTGAATGGGTTAACAACATGGTAGTTTTCTCTTCTTGCAAGGTTGAGGAATGATGGACTGACCAACATTGAATATAGTTTCTGATGTCTGTGTACCTTCCTAATAAAAATTAGGATTCACATAAAACTTTTATGCGTTTTTAAAGAAACCCTTAAAGGGACAGATCACCAAAAAAAAGGTCATAATTTACTCACCCTCAAGTTGTTACAATCCTGAATCCGTTTCTTTCTTCTGTTTAACACAAAAGGAGATATTTTGAAGCATTTTGGTAACCAGACATTTAATGGACCACATTGACTACCAAAGTAGAAAAAAAACATACTATTGAGGTCAATGGGGGAAGTCACCAACATTCTTCAAAATATCTACCAGAATTTGCTGCAAAATTAGTATTATAGTAATTATAATTAATTTTATATATTCGTTAAATTATTAACTGGTGTTCACTGGCGTGCAGTGTGTGTGTGTGTGTGTTCACTACTCACTGCTCCTAATGTGCACTACTTGGATGGGACAAATTCAGTGTATGAGTTAAAATACATGGCTTTCACTACACTTCACTCATTAAACATAGTGGTTTACAGTATTCTTTTATTCACGTGTCAGACCTTTTAAACTGCGAAAGTAATTATCAGTGCATCACCTTATAGAAAATACTCAAAATACACAATATTTGTGTGGATTTTATCATGCCACGTGTCATTACTAATTACTCAGCACAATTAAAGGCTTGCAAAAAATGCTTTGTTCATAAACATGATTAATATTGCTGTTGGCATTTGAGTAAGATTTTAAGTGGTCACGTTTTATTTATTTATTCATTTTTACAATTACATGTAACTTCTATAAAGGAGAACAAAACTTATGATTAGGCGTCATTAGACAACAAAACATTATTAATAATTTGACTGACGAAACATTTTAAATGAAGGAACGTAATGCGACGTTGAGGAATCAAGTGGGCGGGGCCAGCCGTGACTTTTCGCTCTCATTGGATGGTGAATCTTCAAGCTGATCCTCGCGAAAGAACCAAAGAACATACACGCCTCAATAATAATTGAAACGCTGTTTGCTTAACCTGACGACTGTGGATTAGCGGGTGCAGCTTTCGTTATAAAGCCTGACATCGCCAGTGCAGCTGGCATATTGTGTTCTTTATTGATAACATCAATGAGCTTTCGTTTATTTCGTCCTTTGGTGTGTTACCTGAGGTGGATGTATCGCCAGGTGCTCGTGGTGCTCGCGGTCTTCGCCGCTATTCAATGCGGGGTTCCAGCATCATGCGCTCGTAATTTAAATTACAGACCAATCATCGGTAAGAATAACATTTAAGATTTCGAATTATCGATTTTATGATTTCAGCGATTTCGCTATTTTTTAATGTGCTATTCCGTTTAAAGTAGGCTAGTGCATGATGTTGATTTTACGATTTTACATCTCACATATTTTTTGCCATGTCATACGATTTTTCTTTTTCATCGGAGCATCTTTTTTTTCTCTGCAGCCTCGTTGGTGGAACATTCTAGTTTCTTCTAAATTATTTATTAACTCTTTAATGCCATTGCATCACGTAAAGGGGTTTAACAACATGGTTGGAAGACCTTATCCTTGCTGGCAATAAAAAGAAAAGAAAAGAAAAATGTCTTTTAAATGTATCCTAGCTTGTAAAATGAGGCTGGTTAGATGTTTGTGACGCCAGCTTGACTGGCAAGCTAAACCAGCTAAGACCTGCAAACCCCAATAGCCTGATGTTTTCAGTATTTGAAATTTGAAGACATTTATATTGTATTTCAGGAATTTTAGCCCAGGAAAACTTAGAGGACGACCCTCATGCACAGGGATCTTCCTACATCGCTGCATCATATGTGAAACACTTGGAGTCAGCTGGTGCCAGGGTTGTGCCAATCCGGTATGCTAAAAAACGAGCTACATACAAAAATAAAATAAAAAACATATTAAAATAAAGAATACATGCAGATAAATGTTTGTTTGCAGCATAAATCAGACAGAGGAGGAGTATGAAAAACTATTCTACGCAATAAATGGGTGAGTGTTACTGAACAGTTTGACATAAGCTGCAAACGTGGTGTTTTCCGTGTGAAGAAAGAAAATAGTGCAAAGTACTTTTCTATCCGTGTTGGATTATGGTGATCTGTTCTACATGCATTTACACAACTATTTTAGGTAAACTACCTTTTGATATTTTCTAATCTTTTATTCGGTCACAGAAACCTCTATTGCACTAGATGTACAACTCAAATTTGCTTTAAAGTTATTTGGGTGTATTCAGCATTTGGTCAAATTTCTACCTCTTGTTATGCAAAATGTAATTGATATAAATAGTTAATACTTTGAGCAAGTTTTAAAGGTAAAGGAAAACATGTACTTGTCTTTTATGTGAAACATTGTTCGTCCGTCTTAAATCAGGACGCTCCGGAAGAAGAGTGTGTTCTCAACAATGTTTTTCTTGGTTAAATAATGGATCAATAAAAATAAAGATGTGTTTGTAACATGGAAACCGGTTCAACCAGAGAACAGACACACCATGTCCCAAAATGGGATGATATATTTAATTAATTCACCTTTATTCTGCTGATTAACTGTTTTTTTTACCTGGTTAGTTTGTTGCTACCTGGAGGAAATGTGGACATTGAAAAGTCTCAGTTTACCAGAGTGTCGAAGATTTTCTATGAACTTGCAATAAAGGTACGTTCACAAACTTGTATGTGATGGTCGCTTTTGAACATGACTAACTCTCATTATAGTAATAGTAGACCGTCTGCATAATACTCTTTATTGTGATAATCCTCCAACAACAGACATTTTACTGAGTATAAGTAACTTTACAACTAGATGTCAACTTATTCTGACCCAAACTCTACCAGTCTACTAATACTCTACTCAAAGTTGATAGACAATAGGTGCAGCATTACTTATAGTCAACAGAATGTGTGAAAGACCATCAAAATAAAGTGAAACCGGGAAAATGATTTTGAATTGGTCTGAGTCGTCGTCTTTATGATCTACAACAGGCGAATGATGTTTCGGATTATTTTCCGATCTGGGGAACCTGTCAGGGTTTCCAGCAGCTCACGGTCCTGACCAGCAACAAGAACCTGTTGACCTTGACCGACACCAAAGCCGTGACCCTGCCGTTGACCTTCAGCCCGGGTTTGTATCCTTGTGTTTTCTGCAAACTCACACTAGTAATACAGCACAAGTGACACTTGCAATAATGTATGCTTCCATCTTATAAGTGTGTATATAAACATGGCAGAATATAGAAATTACGGAAATTGCTAACCACGGTTTGTGTTGTGTTGTAGCCAATTCATGTATTAGCTCATTAATGTGAGTTGGTCAATGATTGTGATTGATTACAGGAGCCCAAAACAGCAGGTTGTTCAAAAAATTCCCAAAGGATGTTCTTCAGTCTCTGGCAGAAGAAAACATCACGTCTAATTTCCACAGCTGGAGCCTGTCCATGCAGGTACCTACCAATACAACGGTTTCATGCTTTCTGAAGTATTTTCAATAAAACCAACATGAAAGCCATTAAACACAGGAACGTTGACTTGCGTACTGATCAGTCATTGGATATTCACTGTATAACAATGGTTTGCTCTTACAGAATTACAGTGGCAATGCCAAGCTGAAGCGTTTTTATAGGGTCCTGACCACAAATACAGACGGCAAGAAAGAGTTCATTTCCACCATGGAGGGTATGAATGTCTCTGTACATCACTGAGTGTCTCTTTGTGTGTGTGTGATGTAACCATTCAGAAACCGTCTCACAATCGGCTGATTCTTATTAAAGGATTAGTTCACTTTAAAAAAAAAAAACTTTTGCTGATAATTTACTCACCCCCATGTCATCCAAGATGTCCACGTCTTTCTTTCTTCAGTCGAAACGAAATGAAGGTTTTTGATGGAAACATACCAGGATTTTCTCCATATAATGGACTTGATTGGGCACCAAACGGTTCAAGGTCCAAATGAGAGTTTCAGTGCAGCTTCAAAGGCCTTTAAACGACACAAGAAGATGAATAAGGGTCTTATCTAGCGAAACAATCAGTCATTCCAAAAGTAAATAACAAAGTTTAAGTTTTATAAGCTCAAATGCTCACCTTGCTCTGTTCTGTGATGGGCGTTCGTGACTCCTATTCGAACTCGTTTATCAAAATGAGCTAATCTTTTTATTTTTTTTATTTTTATTTTTTAAGTAAACTACTCCTAAGAATACATTTAGATATTTTAATTTTTTGTTACAATTTGTAGCAAGTGAATAATTGTGCTTCATTACATCCTGTAGCGTCTCGATATCCCTTCTACGCGGTGCAGTGGCATCCAGAGAAAAGCGCGTTCGAGTGGATTGATAAACCCGGTATGGTGCACACCCCGTCAGCCATCAAAGCCACTTTTTACGCTGCCCACTTCTTCGTTTCTGAAGGTTGGTCATCTAAAAAAATAAATAAAGTTGCAATATTAATTTGGAAATCTTTCATCTTGGCATTCTTTTAAGTTTTTAATTTGACTTAACTTGGCATTAACTTGGGTTTGTTTAAAAAACAATCAACATTCAAGAGATTTTAATCATTAAGTCTGAAATGTTTTACTTACCACTGTGTTGATGTCTGTTTCAGCAATGAAAAACCATCATCATTTTTCTTCGCGAAGTGAAGAGGAAAAAGCTCTGATTTACAACTATCAGCCCGTCTTCAATGGCCTGGACAGCATCTTCCTACAAAACTACTACTTCGAATAAATGTTTAGTCATTACACTTCATATTAATCATGGCAAGAATTTTTGTTGAAATTATTTCTTTACTTGTACAGTTTGCCAAAACTTGATGATGGGAATGCCGAGATGTATTTTGAGTTCATGCTTTTAAATGTTCCTATTGATTGTAGATGTGATGGAATGTATCAAAGCAGTTTTATCCAATTCAGAAGTCATTTTATATAGGATTATGTGTCTTCTAGTAAAGTCAAACTTTGTCATCTTTCACATAGTTTACAAGCATGCCAATGCAATGTTAAAATGTATTGCTTTGTAAATTTTAGGGAAAATAAAATGGATTTTTGTGTTTTAACTGGTCAATTTTATATGGCAAGTCATTCACCACTCAGTAGAGGGCAGCAGTGACAAGTCCAACTTAATGGTGCGCTTACAAACTACCAGACATGCCTTCTGAAAACATTTATTTATTTGCCTTTGAGGTGGGACAACATAAAATTACCAGAAAACAATGAGATCGGAATCTCCTTACAATCAGATACATTAAGCAGTTTTGAGGTACAAAATCAAAATGGAAAAAAGTGCAAATTTGCTAATAGCTCTCGTCCCAGGACAGAACGGTACAAAACAACAGCGTTCTACACTGGCGTTAAACTGTCCTACGTCAAGGCTTATTACAGAACCAAAAAAATGCATGTACGTTATATATAGAGAGCGTTCTGGAGTACTAACCATTTAAATCTGTTTAACATGAACTGTTCACGTTTGCTAAATTGTGTACAATCAGTTTGACCCCTGACATGTGCATAGACTATTATGTACTACAATGTTTCATGCACTTAAAATCAGTAAAGAATAGCCTTTTATCTATTGTGACAAAAAAGATTGTTCTTTGACAAACAGACTGTACCATAAACAAGAGAACCACCATGAAGATAGCCAAGTTTAACACTTTTTTTTTGATCACCGTTTACTTTTGCTTTTAAAAACACTGAAAACATGTAGAAAACAAAGAAATCATTGCCTAGCGCCATTTGACACATTTCTATGTGAAAGACTCTTTTGTAAGAAGAACCTCGTTCTGCTTTGGATGCCGTTGGTGCTGAGCAACGTTAAAGGTGCAATATAAAAAACCTTAACAAAGAGCGACATTAATCCAGTACAGAGCAGCCATTCCGATCGGTGCACGATAAAAGAGCAAGGCAGGTAGGCGTCCATCCAGCATTCAGCATGTAAAACACAATATGCAGCCTGCTTAATTGTAGATACTTGCGTTAAAATAAGATGAGAATGACTGATTATAGTGTATCATTTGAGATACACTGTCTACATATTCAATAAAACAAAAACAAAAAATCCTTGGTACAATCTCTATCTCTGTCTTCAAGTACACTAGTGTTTTTTTTTTTTCCGGTAATTCACCCAAAAATGAAAAATCATTTAATCGCCTTCATGTCGTTTCAAACTAATTTCTAAGAAAGAAAAACTTTTAAAGAATCTGTACGTAGTTACTTCAGAATAACTTTTTGAGATCTCGTCAGGTTCGCTGCCATTGGTAGCCTAATCATCGGGGTACTTAACAAAAACAAAAAATTGTACAACGCTATTGACCTTCTCCCGGATTGTAACACGGTATGAAGGTAAAATCTTACACATGAACAGTTTATTTTGAAATGTTCCCGGAATACTGACATTTAAGACATTTGCTTCCCAGATAGCACATGGCTATTTGATGTGCTATTTACATCTGGAAGACGTATTTTTAAGAGTGTTTGCTCATCTGCAAGACGTCTATAGGACGTTTCCTGTCAGATGTCAAATAGACGTTTAGAAGATGTCTCTAAGATGTAATGATTTAGAAAGCATGTTAAACTGACATCTTCTAAACGTCTATTTGACATCTGACAGGAAACGTCCTATAGGCGTATTGCAGATGAGCAAACGCTCTTAAAAATACGTATTCCAGATGTAAATAGCAAATCAAATAGCCTTGTGCTATCTGGGTTCAAACCTTCATTAACTCCACCAGCTTATTACTCTTCGACAGCAATCCCATAGAAATATGTGGAGCTACGCAAAAAGGGAAGTTCAATAGAATTACTTAAGTCTAATTACTTTAGATGTCTTGTAATACAGCACACAAGCCAATATATTCTACTTTTTTTTTTGGAACTTGACGTCCGTTGTTGTGTGGAAATTAACTTAAGTTCCTTCTAAATTCTATTTTTCCCTCACAGAAAAACAGGAGTTTGGAACAACATGTGGTAGATTAAAACGAAATATTTCATGTTTTTAGGGTGAACTATTGCTTCAACAGTGCAAGGAACAATTTTCAAACAACGTTTTAAAATCTAAAATGTCCTACTGATTGTTTGACACATTCGATTGAAATCAATACTAATGACTAGCTCCTGCACTGAAAATTGTCCCATATCATATATAACTCGCATTAAAGCACTTTAGTAAAATTATAGTCCGTCTGAATTTAGTAATGTCGACAAAGAAATACGTCATACACGCCAAAAGACATAACATTTTAAACAGCAGATGTTTGGAAAAAGCTTGAAAATGTTTAGTGCCTTCATAGTCTTTAATGCGATGCTGCTTTCCCATGCCGTTTTGATGATTGTTTTCCGGGATTAAAGGTGGGTGTCTTCCTCTTGGTTGTCTTCCTCCTCTTTCCCGGGCTTGTTGACGAGAACCTGCCAACCGCTCCCGCCGTCCGCGCCCGCCGTTACCCCATTGGCGCTGAGTTTCTTCTCCTGCATCTCTGATTGGCTGTCGCTGGTTACGTCCAGTGTGGGGTTGTCATGGCAACCGTTCTCCACAAAGTGGAGCTCTTCGCCTCGCGACTTGATGAAGCACGGAGGAGACAAACCAAAAGACAAGATAAATAATCAATCAATGTGAACCCAAACTGTCACTCAGATAATGTTGAGGTTAGTAATTAGCATTCGAGATCCATTATTTATTGCGTGCAAGCTCCATGTTGACAGTGTTTGTGCCATAATTTTGATTACCATAGAACACTGGACCCTTTTTCACAGACTGACGATGACATGTGGGTTTTAACGGCATCAACATCGTAAATCCTAAAAAGTTTTTTATATTTTCATTTTTTTTATTATTATTATTATGTAGACTAATAACACTACACTTTGTATTATATTACCTTTGCATCAAATTACAAAAAAAAAATAAAAAAAAATAAAATGGTTAATAACGCTGTTAATATATAAATATGGTGGTCATATTAACTCATATGTAAAATTAAACAATATAAAATATAACAATTTATAAAATAGAAGGACACAAATAAATATGTGAAATACTTTAAGACATGAAATGTTGAAAAAAAAATCAATCAATCAAAGTGGGAGTATAAATGTGCACAAAATTTAAAATAAAAAATATTAAAATAAATCACATCAGTATAATATAGTAGACAAATGAAAACTAAATGGGATAGATTGTAAAATGGTTTAATAAATCAATATTAATACAGTAAAACATTAGCATAATATTGATAGTATTTGTGCCATAATCTCGATTACCACAGAACATTTTGGACTCTTTTCATATGACTGTGATTGGTGTGTTTTAACATCGTACATTGTAAATCCAAAGTTTTTTTTAAATTTTAATTTGTTTTAATTATGTCAATTTATAACACTACACTTTGTATTATATTACCTTTGCATCAAATGGGAACACCAAATATATTTATATTCAATGTATTTTCTCATTTACCGCTATAAAAATATACCCAACTATGACGACTTTTGAGGAACCTGCAAATGGTCTATTGTGGATTTAACCTACCATGTTCTTGAGTTTGGGTAAGCGGCGCTGCCAGCAGATATAGATGATTCCAGAAGCAATGATGAGCACACACACTGATCCGATGATCACTAGAACCACAAACAGCTTCCCGTAGTCGCTGCGCGTCTGACTGGGCCTCGAGTGGCACGTGTTGACGGTGGAATAATTCTGGATTCCAATCTGAGGAAATTAATTTGAGCTATTTATTATGCGTATTATTCATGCTACTTAAAACTTTCAATGTATTCATTTAATTGGTTATTATTATTTGCTGCATTTCAGTCCTACCTCATATAAACCTCTTCTGATTTCCCCCAGCATTGACAGGACCTCTTTTGGGGCTATGATATCTTCACATAATGAATGGAAAATGAGACAAAAAATTTGTAGAATTTTTTTCATCATCAAATCATTGAAGACTTGTTGAATCAAAAGAGGAACATAAAGTAAACGTTTACAAAGAAAATTAGTGAACCATGAAGTGTTTTTTTTTTTTTGCACTGTAACATTATACTTTCATGACAATTACCCCCAAATTGATATTGCTATCCATTATTCTAATATGATAGAGAAAATTATTCTATCTGAATAAATTTTTGTGTCATGAATACTAAATTTAAATTATTTTCTTTAATACAATTATATCAATTAAGTGCTTCACTGTCATAAAAAAGCTGTTGAAAATGTCACAATGCAAAACATCTTAATGGTACTTAAACGGGCCTTATTGTCTGTATGCAAAATATAATCTCGTGTTATTCCTTTAATTTTGTGAAGAATTACGACGTTAGTCAGGCTTTGTAAGATATGCCATCTAACTAATGCTCTGAACAGAGATGTGTGAGATAATACATGCTATTTTTGTCCTTTATATAGAGCATGAAATTAAAAGCTTGTACATTATTAACACTTCTCTAAACCACAAACATGACATTATATGTAACCACAGAGGCCCTGAGTAAGTGTGTGTGTTACCCTGCTCGCTGGCTACAGCCATCAGGAGCTGGTGGTCCTGCTGTGTGGGTTTGCTGAGGAAAATGAGCCAGGATCCTTGTGGGATGTTCAGCTTTCTGGAGAAAGTGTTTTCCAGCATCTCCAGAAGTCTGTCGCCACTCTCCATACGAAACTCGTCCTGCGAGAAACACACAAGGAATACAATGAAAAAACAGTGATGTCAAAATCGTTACTTTTACATCTTAAAAATATTTAGTTTTACATTCAATCTCATGCTGGATATTCACTCTCAGTGTGAGAACACCTTTACTGAATACATGCTTTCTCTAAATAAATGCTTACATAAACATATAGCCTAGGAGAGCAGAAACAAATGAAAAATAGCACGAAGAAATACTAATCAGATGACAAATGAAATGTTGCAAAAATAATGCAATAAAATGGGAGCGTAAATGTGCACGAAATTTCTAATAAAAAATAAATGAAAATAATATTAAATAAATATTATTATAATTAATTTATAAAATAAAATAAATTAATATAATCTCAATATAATATAGTGTACAAATAATATGTGCATGATAAAATGGTTTAGTTAATCAGCAATGCAGTAAACGCATAATTAAGCTAGCCTAAAACGGCATTAAATACACCTTGAAATGTGATATATCTGACAAAAATAAATGTATTTGAATAGATTATATAATGTTTGTTTTGTTTTTTTTTAAAAAGGGAATATAAATGTATTTAATTTATTGTGCACGTCTAGTCTTGAATGCAACATAATGGACAAAATAAAAAACTAAATGATTAAGTACATCATAAAATTGTGTAATCAATAAATACAAAATACAGTAAATTTTTAAAATTCAAAAGAAGTAAATTGTATTTTTGTCAAATGTGAAAATACACATGTAATAAAGCAAACAAAATTAAAGAGCACCTATCAGGGATTTTTGAAAATGAAGGGAATGAAAACATCCTGCAAAGATTTATATCTGAAAGTGCACCGTATATAAAGTTATTGTCTTTCAAAAGTGAGAGTCGACTCTGAGTCTATGAAATGAATTGTTTTTGAAACGAATCATTAGCTGTTACATCGTGACGTAGAGAGCTCATTGGCCGCTCCCAACAACTGCGCGCGCAGACTTGAAGTGACGTCTAGAACACATTCAAATACTTCAGCTGAATCGCGTCATGTCGAGAAGACGCTGTGTTCTACATTGCAAAGACAGTTCAGCCACTTGTTTTCATTGTCCAGGGACGAGCGTGTGAAGAATCAGTGGTCAGAGTTCATATTTGCAACGCCTGAACCTTGTGTTCTCATCATTTTAATGACGAATCATTCGCAAGCCAGTTGTTCCTGAAGGAGGGCTCAGTATCCAGTGTATATGGATCAGGGTGGTCCTCCTTCGAATCACAATCTGTAAGTATTATTAATAATGTTTGCTGTTATGTTTTCTGTAGCATGTACAATATTGTTATATTGTGTTTTGTGTGTTGTGTACACTCCGCGCAGCTTCTAAGCGTGGTAAAGTTAGTTTTGTTTTTGATATTCACCAGACATTCATTGAAAAATGGCAATTACCTCCTAAACGACATAGCCAAATACGACTTCGCTCTATATAATAAGCACTGCCCCTCAAAAGCCGCCGCAATGAGAAAGCTCGCTCTTGACGGAGACGCGAGTAAGAAAGTGCACTTTTTCTGACACGTTTGTTCAAACACTATATACAATTTTCAACACTTGACGAGCTATAATCCTGGTTATGGGCGTTCCATTGCCGAAAGTCTCTGCCAACGGTTTACCAATAACAACTGACTGGGTCATTTGACCAATCGCAGCAGATTCGCGTCACTCAAAGGAGGTGTTTGGGAAAATGAATCGTCGAACGAATCATTTGGGATTCGTTGAGCAAATCAGTTAAAAATAAATGCATATTATAAGACAAGCGTGTTTTTTTATCCTTGCATGCACGTTAAACTGTTTTCGGGAACTCCTAAAACAAAAATAGGAACATTTCAAATGCTATGATAGGGGCTCAGAAGATTGATGATATAATTGAAATGAAAAGTGACAAAATATGACTTGAAATGAAATACGAGGGCAAATCATGCTCTGTTTCTCCATTATCCGAATCAGGAGCTTCCAGACAGACAGAACCAGTGACCCGTCTAAAAAAAACTGGTTTGCTTTGTTACTGAGACTCGGCGACAGACTTCCTCCAGGCAGAAACAGACACACATCAGATAGGCTACAGAAATCAGAATTTTTTCAGGCCATTCACAGCAAGCGCTGAGTCATTCAGACGGAGGGAGACTGCGCTTTCTCTCTGGGCTGTATTGGGTTCTGATCAATCGCTCTGCAGTGCTGCTCGAGTTCAAACACGCCATCGCAGGAGCCGTCGAGGGTTTAGCACACAGCTGTCAGGGAGCCGGTGGGGGGACAGTTCTTTGCGATCATGCTGCAATTACGTGCCACTAGAGCGTTACCGTGGCAACAGACAACTGGTCTCTTCTACACTGAGAGACTGTTTTTGCCAGTGATATGTGTGTTAAGAAAGATGTAAAAGAAAGGAACATCACAATCTTTTTAGACCGCGACAAGATTCAACAGAGACCAAAATGATTAGCAAAATATGGCCACGATTTACTTAAACGAAGAAACACATTAGCACAAAGCGCCCAAAAATTCATTTAAACGAAGAAAGAAACGCATTAGCACAAAATGGCCACGATTTACTTAAACGAGGAAACGCATTAGCACTCCGCGGCCACGTTTTACTTAAACAAGGAAACGCATTAGCACACCGCGGCCACGATTTACTTAAACAAGGAAACGCATTAGCACACCGCGGCCACGATTTACTTAAACAAGGAAACGCATTAGCACACCGCGGCCACGATTTACTTAAACAAGGAAACGCATTAGCACACCGCGGCCACGATTTACTTAAACAAGGAAACGCATTAGCACACCACGGCCACGATTTACTTAAACAAGGAAACGCATTAGCACACCACGGCCACGATTTACCTAAACAAGGAAACGCATTAGCACACCGCGGCCACGATTTACTTAAACAAGGAAACGCATTAGCACACCGCGGCCACGATTTACTTAAACAAGGAAACGCATTAGCACACCGCGGCCACGATTTACTTAAGCGAGGAAACGCATTAGCACACCACGGCCACGATTTACTTAAACAAGGAAACGCATTAGCACACCACGGCCACGATTTACTTAAACAAGGAAACGCATTAGCACACCACGGCCACGATTTACCTAAACAAGGAAACGCATTAGCACACCGCGGCCACGATTTACTTAAACAAGGAAACGCATTAGCACACCGCGGCCACGATTTACTTAAACAAGGAAACGCATTAGCACACCGCGGCCACGATTTACTTAAACAAGGAAACGCATTAGCACACCGCGGCCACGATTTACTTAAACGAGGAAACGCATAAGCACTCCGTGGCCACGATTTACCTAAACAAGGAAACGCATTAGCACACCGCGGCCACGATTTACTTAAACAAGGAAACGCATTAGCACACCGTGGCCACGATTTACTTAAACGAGGAAACGCATTAGCACACCGCGGCCACGATTTACTTAAACGAGGAAACGCATTAGCACACCGTGGCCACGATTTACTTAAACGAGGAAACGCATTAGCACACCGCGGCCACGATTTACTTAAACGAGGAAACGCATTAGCACACCGTGGCCACGATTTACTTAAACGAGGAAACGCATTAGCACACCGCGGCCACGTTTTACTTAAACAAGGAAACGCATTAGCACACCGTGGCCACGATTTACTTAAACGAGGAAACGCATTAGCACACCGCGGCCACGATTTACTTAAACGAGGAAACGCATTAGCACACCGCGGCCACGTTTTACTTAAACAAGGAAACGCATTAGCACACCGCGGCCACGATTTACTTAAACGAGGGAATGAATTAGTGCAACATGCTTACGAATGAATATGTCATGGCAATTAATTCATAATTTATGGCCACAATTTATTTTCTTTTTTTGTGTGTTATCATCTGCGTTGATCTGTATATTTTAAGTTGAATTACTAAAATTACTGAATCTAAATAAAAAATTATAAACTAAATAGGCATTAAAAAATGAATACAAATATTAATAAATACTTAGTAATTATACTAGAATAACACTGGTCAGAGATCTCAAAATGAACAAAGTTTCCCATCAAATTCTCAAGAAACCAATTGATCTGCTTATGACAATTACAGCTGCTCTTTATTATTACTGTATGCCAATTATCACTGTCAGGCTTCACAAATGACAGAAAACCACCATAAAACCATTTTAAAAGTTGTCAATATAACTACTGAAGCCATTAGATATCATCTAATGATGAACAGAACCAAATTTAACCAAAACACGTTACGCTAGTTTGGATATCATTAGTACCACTTTTATCTTGTCATTCTGTAAATTTTGTTGCTCTGCTGACTAACTTTGTTTTTGGACGAACTATCCCTTTAAATGAAACATAAATGTCAACTTTAAAAGCTCAAGATAAACCAAGTGCAAGAGCATTTGCCTTTGTGTGTGTGTGTGTGTGTTTCGCAGCTCTGCTAACTAGTACACAAGATTAAGAATCACATTTTTCTTTGTTGTTCGCTATAAAGGCCAGAGAGCGTGAGGATTGTAATGAAACAGATGCGCTCTGCGCTCCCAGCGTGTGTCACTGTTTGTGCTGAGTGTGGTTAGTTGTGCAGTCAGCATGTTTCATGAGCATTTCTGCTGCAGTACTTCACGTGAGCCTGAACAGAACACACACCTTCATCAAGAGCGATTACATCAAATCCTGACTGGATTTGTATGAAGAAAAGGTGACTTTTGGTTAGGGTTAGCGAGTGTTTTCTGGCTGGGTTTTAGTAACAGAAAGTGACTTACACAGTCAAAGTTGTCCGTCATGTTGAGTATAACGTAGCCCTTTCCTGCGAGGTTGCTCCAGTCGACACAAATCACCTGCACAGAATCAGAAAAACAGGGTGTTTGGTCTAACAGCCACTTTATTGAACTGAATTGTTGTGGTTTGTCGAAACGCTCACAGCCTGCCGTGCGGCCAGGAGAACAAATCTATAAACGCATTACTCTTCCTAGCATTCAGATAAATCAATCAGAAAATCATTTCCATCAAGACATGACATGCTTCATCCAAACAAACAACTGAGGATTTTATACCAAGAACCACCCGTGAAATTCAAACATGTTTTGTCAGCTTTTTATTTATTTATTTTTATTTTTTTATAAAGTTATAATGGAAAAAGACCTTAAAGTGAGGTACTTCCTGTTATTGTTAACTAAAATGAAAATTTAATCCTGTAATTAAAATAAAGTCTAAATATTAGATTAAAGAAAAACATGAATTAAGTTTGAGTTCAAGTTCTAAAAATTATGATTACTAAATAGAAATATTAGAAAAACAAAAAAAAAGCACAAAACTATTAAAACTTGAGAATTATAACATTGTTTCTTACTAGAGACTTGCTTTTTATGATTTGGCTCTCGTTCAACAAAAACAAAGAAACAATGTTATGTTTATGTTTTACAATAATAATAATAATATCAGATTTTTTTTTACTATTTATCATGATTTATAATTAGATAATATTAAAATACATTTAAATTTAATATATTACTGTTACGGTATTTAAGCAAACTGACTCTTTGAATTGCTTTGAACTGAATTATCGCTCAATTAATGTGTGTCTTTAAATATTGAGTACCTGCTCGGCCTCCTGGGACAGCTCTGAGTCGTGGAGCTCGGTTTCGGCAAGATATTCGGTGCCGCCGTGCCGAAGCTCCGCCCCCTCCTCGTCCGCTGCCGTGGTTAGCTCCGCCCCCTGCCAGGCAGGTTCAGTGAAGACCAACGGTGGCAGATCCGAGGCGGGGGAGGACGAGGGCCCGGTCGTGAGGTACCGCCAGTCAGACTCTTCCTCTTCCGGTTCAGTGGGGAAAACCACCAACTCTTCCTCATCCTCCTCTTCCTCAGAATCGTCCCGGTGTTGAACGTCAGGCTGCAGGGGCTCCCGGCTGGGCAGGGGCCCGATTTCTGGAGCGGTGGGTGCTTGCGTGACTTCACGGGCCCTCTCGTCATCAAACGGGTCCTGGGACGCCAGGCGTTTGTCAGGTCCGGCTGTGGCCTCTTCTCGGTTCTGACGGGACAGACCGAGGGAAGGGGGCGTGGCCGTGGCTGTAAAGGGGGCGCGGTCTTCAGCACCTGCTCTTGATGGGCCGGGGGAGGGCGGGAGGGGGAAACCGCTAGATTCAGAATCACTCTCCCATTGCTCCGGGTCTACGGGCTCAGCCGTAGGGATGAAGAGCAAAGAAGAGGAGTTGGTCTCACTGGGCTTTTCACTCAGAGGAAGTGGCGAAGATGGCGGTTCTGGAGATGAAGGGCTGTAATCTGATAGAAAG